CTTTTTTACTTTGGGAATTTTTCTCTTTCCAAATAACTAGAGACGTTTTTCATGTAACTAAGGCCACTCTAGCCATGCTACCCACATTTTATAATATTTAAAAACTAGTAGTGCTTTTTAAATTATACTAAAATTGCCTCATTTTAATTAATATCGCACAATTTTAATAATTGCCTTTTTTGTAACTTCTATTTATACAATAAGATTCCATTTTTGGTTTCATATAACATGTAATCATCATGTGACTTTGTGTAATATAGAGCTTCGAATTCCAACTTATAGGTCACGTGACCTTGTGTAACTCAAATTCAAGACCCTATTTTTAACTACCCCTGAATAGCCTATCTTACTACAACCCCTGTTTTATTTTTATACCCTATTTTCAACTTAGAAAAATTTTACAAAATATTAATTTTTACCATACATTCTAAGTTAAATACCCTATTTTTAATCTAAAATAATTTTCAAAAATCAATTTTACTACACCTTAAGCAAAACTTAATACTCTTCTAACTTTACCATACCTATATTAGTCAGCAAAGACCCTGATATAGTAGATCTTGACTACTTCTATACTCACTTCAAAGACAGCTTTGGTCTTGCATTTTTTGAGGATAAAACAGACAACAATATCAAACCAATCCCACCCAAGCAGGCTCCTACTACTTGCTTTATTAAATCCACTAGATCTCACAAAGCAATATACTTTTTCTCTGCTCTATCCTCCACTGTTCTAGCTACTTGCTTATATGGTAAATACTACACACAATTTATATTACAAACTAAAACTATCTATCAACATGCTACTAATTTTACTACAATCGCTATGGGGAAAAAACAAAACCAAAAATCAGTCGAACTTATTAATACTATTTCTGAATCTACTGACAATATCTCACCATCTTCTATATCCAAAGCATGCCAACATACTTGCCCCAAGTGTACTTAAGTTATTACTTGCAAGATTATTAACAGTACATACTATTCTAATGCAATCTATACTATTGTCAATTAAAAAGTATACCACTCTAGTTGCATAGCTGAATCCTCATCTTCTACTTCTAACACATTCTCAACTTCAACTCCCTCACCCCTCGAGCAAGCCAGAAAAGACCTAACTTCAATCTTTCAAGCTACACTACTATCTAAACCTAACACCTCTACTACAACTCAACCTTCTACTCTCATTAATATTAATAAAACAAATATTTCTAAAACAAATACCTCTAACACTAAACCTACAGAAAAAATATCTACTTTACAAACTGACTCAAAAATTTCTCAACCCCTATCTACCTTTACTAGTAACTCACCTCTTCCTAAACATACATACTCTGTTAAAACCCAACCCAACCCACAACCCAAACAAAACCCCTTATTCCAAACTATCCAACCTTTATCACCATTATCTCAATCTCAAGTTTCTAGTTTAATGGAAATTGATTCTACTGAATTTGATCTAATCTCTTTTGTAGATAACTCTACAACCAACCTATTCACTCAGGCAACTGCTACTAACACAAACCAAAAGCCTACTATCTTCAACTCTTTCAAACTTAAGCAACCTCAAACTTTTACAACTACTCAATCTCAAATCCAACTCTCTATTTCCAATAAATCAATACCTACTACATCTCAACCTACTGCTATTATCAAATTAACTCACACCTCATCCTCCTACCAAATAAGCTCTACTACTAACTATACTAACACTTATACTAACAATATCACTCAAAAACCCACTAACGATACCAATACTACTAATAGCAACAACAACAATAGTGAGGTTACTACAGCTACCTTACCTGACAAATCTAAAGTCAAAGCCAACTCATCCTTTGATTGGCTTTCCCACTTCCTTATCACTGATAAAATAAAAGATAAAACCAAACTTGAAACACCTATGGCTCTCCAACTCTTTGACTTTCTTAAAACCCACTTTTACAACTTTTATCCTGGCAAAATCCTCAAGGAAGCTAATGATAAAAATCCATACTCACTTTGAGCCAACTTCAGATACCTTATCCATACCATGGCTGCTTGCCAACCTAAATTCCTTTTAAACTTTATCTATTCCAATAACCCTGATACTAACTCCAAAGCCTTAATTAATTTTACTATCCTTGAAACTACTTTCAGAAATTTAATTCATAAATTCACATCTATTCTCTTTACCCAATTTAACTATAAAGAAATCTTTGCTTCAGCAATTATGATACCTCCTTACAAACCTGAAAACAGAATCCAATTCCGCCTTAACCTTGCCTGTATACACCTATACCTCTCTGAAAACTACCAATATATCAACTATACTAAGTTTGCAGAAGACTTCAACCTCCGTTTAAAAACCTTTCAAATCACATCCCATATTGTTTCTATTGACCAAAACAAAGAATATCTTACTATCAAATCAAATGACAAATTTAATATTAATCTTTTATTTAATTTACCTCAATCACTTTTTCTACACAAATTTAGTATTCCCTCTTTTAAAAACTCTAAAAAAAACTTCGTTGAATGGTTCAAAAACTTCTTTCCACTTATCAACACCAATTCACCTCAATTGACAAACAAGAATTATATGACAAACTATATTATCTTATTAAAAGAGCATTTACCTTCCAACTTAAAAAGTTTCTCCTCTCCGAATATGTCTTTAACAAACCTTCAAACTCTTTTGAACACCTACTGGAATATACTCGATTTCTCAACTACTATATACTCACATATATATACAAAAACTGCTTCTATATCCAAAATAGCAAACATAACATACCTAATTTCCACCAAGCTATCCAACAAGAATTTGTCAAACATTACTCTGTTCAAGCAAACGAAAATTCATCTATCATTTTGATTGACCCCTGAATCTTCCATATTGATAACAAATATCCAGCCACCTTCCAAAAACCTATTTTAACAAAAACTCTTGACAAACTTGCAGATGAAGCAGAGCAGCAAATCTGCAAAAAATATTCTACTTCTTTTAGCAAAAGCCACCATAATTTTTACTTTTATCAATACTTGCAAATCTACCAAGATATTGTAGCTAATAATCACAATATCTCCTATCTCTCCAAAAAACAAGCTATCGAACTTATCACCCAAAATATTGTATCTACTGATTACTTAGCTCGAGTAATCACATACTTTGACCTCTTCTATATTCAAGACAACAATACTAAACTTATCTTTTCACAAATATCTAAACACTACTCATCATCTGCCTTTCCTGAAGCAGAAAAAATCCTCCCTTTCAAATTTAAAATCCAATTCGAAGTTCCTGTAATTGAAGATTCTTTGTTTATCAAAGAAGATTCTTTTTTTCTCTAACTCAATCTTCTACAAACAACATAAATGCAGCCACCACTTCTCTAAAAGATATATCCTTAGTAGTTAGAGAAGAGAATAATGTAAGTAGGCAGGTGGTTAAGCCTATTTACCTGGAAGAATTAGATAATGACAGTACTCTAACGTCCAACCTGAGTGCCTCTAATTCTTGTAGAACCGTGAGAGCCGGGTATATAGCAAGCACAATTGTAGAAGATATCCAAAAAGTTCTATTTACAATCTTTTTCACCTCCTATGAACCTTTTACCTGCTTCAATAAATTCTTTTTATCACAAAACCATCTACCTATTTCATCACCCCAAACACTTAACTCTTTCTTCTTATATTTACTAACAAATGGCCTGTGGAGTAACTTCAAGACAAAGCTGTTATCTCTATTAAAAATAACTATAGTGAAGCATATATTTACCTTTCTGGTGAACCCTGTCTTCTACCTGACTACACAATTATACCTTATTTAGAAAGTATCTATCTTCATCCATTTATTCCTTTAAAATTGAATACTCAATATATCCCTAGCTCTAGCACTTCTTACTTATCGCTTAACCTATCAATATGTATACACAACATTCGAGGCTTCAACAAAAACCTTAAACAACAAGTTTGGGAACACTATTGTCTATCTAACAACTTGGATATTATCTGTCTTACAGAAATCAAACTTGCTAACAACAATATTCTCACCTCTAAACCTCTCAAAACTCCTCACTATACCTACTTTTAGTCTTGTACTGATAGCTCCAAAGCTGGAACTGCTATCATGATATGCAATTCCTTAATCTCTCATATACACAAAACTTCTCTAATTCCTAGTTATGTCATTATAATTGACCTGCATTTCAAACATGATTTTAAATTCTGTATTATCTCTATATATCTCCCTAGTAACAATGCCTCTATTAGACTTCAAACTCAAAACACTATTATCCAATGGCTACAAGATGCTAGCACTCTTAACCTGCTTCCTATTATACTTGGAGACTTCGATGCCTCAACCAACAATATTCACTTCTCTTCTATTAAACACAAACTTCAATTCTTTACCTACAATAAAATGTATAATTTTGCTTCACACTCTGCTACATCCTCCCCTACCTGGCACAGCTTTAGATATAGCAGTGAAATTGACTTTATCTGGGCCTATCATACTATTATAACCTATTTAACTCTCTTCAACATGAATAACTTACATAGCAGCTCACTCAGTGACCACAAAATCTTGATCTCTTCGCTGGTCCTTTCCCCATGCACTACATAGCCAACGTAGATACAAAACTCAGTCTTGTAGAAGAGTTTTCAATTACAAAGTTATGAACAACACTAAATAGGAAGAATTCTCTAATCATATTGGGTGATTTTTAAAATACCTTAAAAATTTTGAGGTTCAAATAATATACAGTATATAGTACATTAATTATATAATGATCTGCATATATATATATTAAATATATATCAAAATTTATTTCTTCTAAGCCGATTGAAAGTAACCTAGAATGCAAGCTTATTTTATTATGCTGTGCACCAAGTAATGAAGCAACCAGCCACGTGACATATAGATGAGTATAAATTTTTTTGTTTTTGATCTTTTTTTTTTTCTGATTTTTCTAACCGATTTTTCTTCTATTATAGCTACAATTATCGGCAAGGAAATGGATTTGCATTGTTTCTGGTACTTTTTTGCAGCAATTTCTATTCTTTTTTGGCATCTTTTGTATTGTTTGCTCTCTATTAACTTTATTTTTTCTTTAGGTGTTCTTTGGACTTTTCAGTACTTTTCTTCAGTGATTTCTATTCAATCACAAGTATGTATACAATCAATAATTGATAATCATTTAATTTTTTTTCACAACGCTATTTCTTTTACTACAGTACTATCTTGGAATTAGCCTTCCAGTTTCGGCATTGTTCTGTTTTCTTTGCGTTCTTAGGTGGGTTTCACTTGTCTTTTTGAAATTAGGCTTCCGGTTTTAAGTAGTGTTTTTTGTTTCGTCATATTCAACTAGCGCCCATTTCTCTTTTCAGATGGGCTTTATTTGTTGGAATTAAGCTTCAGTTTTGGGCATTGTATTTGCTCTCTTTGTGTTCTCAAGTGGGGTTCACTTGTCTTCTTGGAATTATGGTTTTAGCTAGCATTTTTCATTTTTTCGTGTTTAACTAAAGCTCATTTCTTTTTCAGATAGCTTTGCTTACCTTCTGGTTTTGGGTATCATTTTTGTTTCTTCGCATTCTCAGGTAGGTTTTGCTTACCTTTTTGAATTAAGCTTCCAGTTTTAGATAGTGTTTTTTTTTATTTCTTTGTGTTGACTAACGCCTATTTCTCTTTCAGGTTGTGTTCTTGGAATTAGTCTGGTGGGTTTGGCCTTTCCCTGTTGGAATTAGGTTTCCGGTTTCGGGTAGGCACTTTTTGTAATTTTGTCATTATTCTTGTTTTGTTTATGAAATGCGCTTTTAACTAATATCATCTTATTTTTGTCTTTCCGGGTAACTATAAGGCCTTGGGTTGATATTTTTTTTTTAGATAACATCAAATAAACGTTTTTGTATAGACTTTTAGTATCATCGTTAGTGTGTTCATTGTTTAACATGCTATATTAGGTATTTTCGTGTGTTATATTTGGACTTCATTGTGAGCATTTCATTTTGTAGTGTATTGAGCGATTATAGGGTGAATGAAATGAACTCTATATATGTTGCTAAGTGTAAGCGAAGCAATACAAGCTGTACTAGGTTAAAGGCCATAATAAGTATTACTAAAATAAAAGTATAAAACAAATAGTTACTTAATAATGAAGCAATAATGTAACGTGGTGATGTAATTAATATTAATATTCAAATAAATTAATTTTGATTAATATTGGTATATCATTTTTTAATAATAAATTAATTTTTAATTATAATTTGTTTTGCTTTATTTTAATGATTATTTTAAAATATTGTTTTACAAAGTAATAATAACAAAATCCGTCATGTACAGCATCTAGTTTTAGATACAATACCCTGGAATTAAAATATGTAGTGCAAACCCAACTTAAATATATATTCAGAAACCCAAGCTAAATATATATATATATCACGAAACCCAAATAAAATATATATTGTGAAATTTATGCTAAATATATATCACGAAACCCAAGCTAATTACCAAATTGCTAATACTAAATATATGTCAAAATATATCACGAAGCCCAAACTAAATATATATTGTAAGATCTAAACAAAACTAAATATGTTCTGCAAGATCTAAGCTGCAAGTTCGCTAAGTGCACATCGTGAAATATAAACAAACTAAAAAGTTAAAAAGTTAAACTTTGTAAAGTTTAAAGTTTTAAAAAATTTAAAAAAAAGTTTTTAATTTAAAATTAAATTCTCTTACTTTTATTAAATTTGATTTTTTCTAAAAAAACTCATGGGTTTTAAGGTAGGCTCATGGGTTTTATTATATTCTCTAAAAGAGACTACGAATTTGGCATATGATTTTGGGGTATATTTTTTATTTACACCCAATCAACATGTGATTTTTTGCAGATCATTGAATATTTTGAGGACTAATTTAAAGTCCAATTCCAAAAATCAACCGATATGCCAAGTCCATATCAATCTCCACTCTAACCATACTCCCTTTTCAACACAATCTCTGGAATCTCTTGAAACAACTTGGCACAAAATCCATACCAGCATCATTACAGCCACTTTACAACACATTTCAAATAAAAAATTTACTGTTTGCAACTTCTAGCACACTTTCTCTTCAAAAGCTACCTATTTACATTCTAATCTTAAAAAACTTGGCAACATAATTCGACACGTAAAACATGCTCTAAAACACTCTTCACCTATCTCTTTTCACCTTAACTCCTCTATCATATCACTTAATCAATCCACAAGCTTACATATTCCCTTACTACCTTCTACACACCAACTTCTTACTCCCTAGATTACCGAGGCTAACTCTGAATGGAAAAATTTTTTTCATGCTTGAAATATTGAAAATATTAAAGAAATCAAACAACAAATCTCTAATACTATCAACAAAAGATGCTCCAAACTTCAGACCTACCCAACCTCAATGATCAACAGTATTCTCAATCGACACAAAGATCCTGTTAAATTTAACAATATTTGATTAAATAATGATATTATTACTGACCCTCCTACTATTAATTCACATATCTAACAACATTTTGATAACTGGACTGCTTCTCACCACATCAATACCAATATATTTAACTTCCAATGGCAAGTTAATACAACCCCAAGCCCTATATCAACCCAACTTGGTACTCCAACATCCTTCTTGACTTTACTAAAGATAAGGTTATCTCTACTATTAACCAACTTCCCAACAACAAAGCTTGTAGTCTATCTAGAATCAGCTATAAAATGTTTAAATATGCAGGCCTTGACTTTTTCACTGCTATTATATCTCTTTTTAATCGATGCCTTATCTCTCAAAATATTCCCAAACAATGGAAAGAAGACCATATCTTTTCTATCTCCAAAAAGCCTATTTTTGATGACAACTTATCAAATACCAGGCCTATTAGCTTAATTGAATATATTAAAAAGCTATATACAAAACTTCTTACTAACTACCTCAATACTTAATATAATATTTTGTCTCCCTTTAACTTTGTTGCACTTCTTGGCAACTCTACCTTCACCCCTATTCATATTCTCAACAATATAATAGAAAATGCCAACTGCAACTCCAACCAACTCTAGCTACTTTCTCAAAATATGAGCAAGGCATATGACTCAGTTAACTTCGAACTATTTCAAAAATCTCTTCACTATATACAAATGCCTCAACAGCTTATTAATATCCTCACCAACCTTTTATTCAACTGTACTAACCAAGTTATTACTAATCTTGGCCTTACCAATTTCTACTCTGTTAGAAATAGTATCGACCAAGGTAAAACAATTACTCCTCTTTTCTGGAGAATCTACTATGATCCTCTTATAGCATATACTTCCTCACACTTTTTTAGATACACACTCTCTATTTCTTGGCAAACTAGTTTCATACACCCCTCTACCAATCACCTCAATACCTCTATATCTGTTCTGGCATACATAGACAATACATTATAGATTGCCCAATTCAAAGAACAACTCAATAAAATTGTTAATATCACCTCTTCTTTCTACACCATGGCAAATATTCAAGTTAACCCTACAAAATCAATATTTATTACAAACCAAACCCCATCAAACTTCTTATTTCTTAACTCTAACCTTCAATCTATTCCATTCTCCCAGCTTTTTAAATTCTTAGAATGTTGGTTTACTTTTAATAACAAACAAACCTCCCAAATCAAACTTATCCAAGATGAAGCTATTAACTTAGCCAATATTGCTAGTACTAAAAACATTACTGACAAACAAA